TAAGGATTTCAAATGCTTGGACTCTCTCTCCTCCTACTTCAGGTGGTTTTCCGCAATGCCTTGGAGATTGGTTTCCTAGCAGGACAGTACTTCTTGTACGGGTTCAATGTGCCAGCCATCTTTGAATGCGACCGCTACCCATGCGTGAAAGAAGTGGAGTGCTATGTCTCCCGCCCCACCGAGAAGACGGTCTTCCTGGTCTTCATGTTTGCCGTGAGCGGGATCTGCGTCCTCCTCAACCTGGCTGAGCTCAACCACCTCGGTTGGCGCAAGATCAAGACGGCCATCCGGGGAGTGCAGGCCAGACGGAAATCCATCTGCGAGGTGCGCAAGAAGGACATCTCCTCGCTGGCCCAAGTGCCTACGCTCGGACGGACGCAATCGAGCGAGTCTGCCTACGTTTGAGTTTTGTCGGATCCTGTGGGGAAACGGGGGTCTCTTGTCAGCGGGTCGAGATTTCGCCCATGCAAAAACCAACAAATTGAATAACCTACAGAACTGACCGCAATACCTCCCAAGTTCATGATGCAATATTCTGCGGGTGCTTTCCACAGCCCCTCTCCTCCAATTTCAAGGGAAGGGGCTTCACATTCACTTTAAGGGCTGAATAGAGAAACCCAGCCTCCCAGAAGCCAAGGGAAGAGCAGAGGTCTGTTCTCCATCCTCTTTCCATCTGGCTTCCATTTCATACTTTACACACTTAGTAACTACTATGATTATGGTGCAAGCAAAACAGTAGGATTCGTGGAAACTTGTGCCTATGACTCCTTTTTATGGACCAGGTGATGCAAATGCATGAAGCAGCAAGGTGGTTTTTTGTGGGGGGTGGACAGGGAAGGGAGCTTGCTCGGTGGGATATATATATATATCTGTTTTTCTCCATTTGGAAAAAAGCAAACAGTGGGGAGGAGATGAGAGAAGGCTCTCCCTGAACTGTCTCTTGCACGACTGGCGTTCTCTCAGCTGCTGTAATGTAAATATTTAATAAGCGTGATTTTTTTTAAAAAAAAAGAAAAAACCAAAAAACCCAGTAAGGTATGCAATAAAAAAAAAGGAATGTTTTGATCATTTCTGCCCTTGGTTGATTCTCTGTTGGTCTTTGGGTTATCAGGGCAGGGCAGGGCAGGCAAAAAGAACTGGTCTCCCTCTCTCTGTGGCACTGAAAGTATCCCAAAGGAAGAGAAAACCAGATCAGTCCCACTTAGATTGCTGCTAGGACTTCATTTAAAAAACAAAAAACTAGGTCTCCTCCTCTGTCTTTAAGAACAGCCTGATCTAGAGACATAAAGTAGGTAGTGAAGTTCCCCAATGTTTTGTTGCTGGGGTGGGCAAAGTATGGCCCTCGAGGTTTTGGATTACATGTCCCAGCAGCCTTAGCCTGCAGAGTGAATGCTGAGGAATGATGTGAGTTAGAATTTATCAACACTTGGAGAGCAACGCTTCAGCCACCCATCCCTGTTGTATTGCCATGACAAAATAATATTTAATTTCTGCAGCAGCTATAAGTTGTTTTTCTAAGCTAGAACGCCTAGCAACTAGTTGATATAGGCATAGGCGGAGGTACAAAGGATACTTTTCTGGACTTATGATTATTTGCTGTCAAGTTGACTTTGGCTTACAGAGATCCTACGAATGAGAGACTCCAAGAATGCCAGCAATCAGCTCAATAGCAATAGCGTGTGCATTTCTATACAGCTTATCAGTGAACTTGGCACTCTGTTTACAGCGGTTTACAATCCATAAGCTCAACTCGGGTTCCCCAAAATCTCCCAGCCAGCATGGCCACTTTTTCAAGCTCTGGATCTGCTTCTGCAAAGAGGCAACACTCAGAGTGCAGCATCCCTCAGGGACAATCAAACTACGGATGCATGATGGAAATTCTCCAAATCTTCCTTTCTTCATCCCCACTCCCCATTCGGTCCTACTGCCATGGTACAAGGCTATCCCATTGCCTGGACCCAAGAGATCTAGCAAGGCAAGACTCTTCCTCTCCGATGCACCCGCGTGCGCGTGCACACACACAGACACATGGATGCATGCCCCCTCCCACCGCTGTCAGCTGCAGTGGCCTTTCATCCCTTAATCTGCCTTCTAATAGGTCTAAAACAGAGAAAGAGGTTAACTGGGCACCATCTGGCTCACGCCTGCAAGGGACCAAACAGGCACAGGCTGAACGGTCCAAGATCTCTCAGTGCCAAA